CTGGCCTCCTGCCACTGCAGCAATGACCCCCCCTGCCCCGACAGTGCCCACTGTCTGGCCAGTGAGAGCCCCCAAAGGGAGTTCTGTTAGCTTTTTTAAAAAAAGATTTATTTATTTATGCATACAGAATTGGGGTACAGGTCAGAGGCACCAGGATGGTGAGAGGATTCCCCACAGAGAGAGTGGGGGGAAGAACAGGCCTACCAACAAAATACACTGCTGAGGGGAGCAGCGGGCGGGTCAGGAGAGGTCTGCCGCTCCATGTGGGTCACCTCCGGGGCGGGGATCGAACTCATGCTGAAGTGGCTTTGGCTTCTTAGTGCTGTGCTTTCACCCTCTGCGCCACCAGGGAGGGCCCACTCTGTTAGCTTTCATGTGATTTATAGACAAAGCAGCACAGGGCCAGGTTGAGCTCTAGTTTACATAGGTGTGTTTCATGTATGTGAATTCTACATGAAGGTTACATGTCATTTCCTGCTCTCCACACACACGGGCTAGCTCTCAAGGCTGCAAGTTAGCTACCAGCCTACCTGAGCAGTCTGAGAAAATGCCACGTTTTCCTATGGGTTTGACACCACCCATTAGAGGCCTTTTTGGCCTCATGAGCTGTAGGACATTTTTTTTGTGAGAGTACCTGGGTGATGTGCATGGAGCATCCATAACCAACCATCAGTATAGATACTTCAACCGAGTGCCACTGTTGGGGGAAGGGTGTCCTAAAGGAACTCTGCAGAGTCTTGTGGACCCCACCCCCTACTCCATCTTTCTGGACTCCGCCCCCTACTCCAGTGATTGGAAACTACAACTCCCAGCAGCACCAGGGAGAGAACTGTGAGGACCCAAGGGCGGAGCTAAGCAGGCATTCTGGGACTGTGGGGGATAAATAGGCCATCATTTTCTATGGCGCTCTTGCTTGCGAAGCTTCTCTTGGGACCGTGTGACTCGGGCTTTCAGTTAGTTTGTTACCAGACCTCCAAGTCAGCCGAGCTGGTAAGATATTCCAGTTTTTTTGTACCCCGCTCTCTTTCCCTGGGTTGTTTCCTTTTCCTTTTCCCTTTTGTAAATAAACCCGTTATTGACCCTTTTGTGTGTGCCTGCAGCACAACTGAATTTTAAGTGCAGGTGAAGCCCCACAGACAGGTGGCCCAGTTCACACTGCGGTGCCCTGTAACACTACGAAGATACAGGCAGGACCCTACCAAGGCACCCAGGACAGCCTGCCCGTGGGCACCGGGGGTGCCACTGGTTTCTGCAGAGGCTCCCCTGGGAATGTTTTCTTGTCTAGAGTGGCCAAGACTTGACTAACACTTTTGTGCTTACTTGGGACACACACGGCATTTAAGACCAAATGGCAAGTCCTCCGTTTATTAGGGTATTGGCTGAAAGCAATCTGGAAGCGAAAGCTGAAAGGGTTAACTGCACGGGCGTGGCACTTCTCTCCCTTTTGGCAAGACACAGCTCAGCTCTTATCAGAAAACAGAACTGTGGTGGCAATAGCTGTCTCCCAGTCCTGGAGTCTCACATTCGCTTTGCCAGCGTGGGCGCATCAGAGGGATTTACGTGCCCCAAGAATGAGTCACTCATAAAGGGCCAAAGGCCAGCACAAATGTCCCGTGTAAAACAATCCTTTGATCAACAGTGTCTGGGCGGGCTACATGCTCCCAAGTGCCACTGCCCTTTTACCCAAGACATTACTTGTAGATCAGCTTCCAGCCCTGTAGGGGGCCAGTAGGGCTCCCCAGCACCTGTGGGGAGCCCCTATTGCTCCAGGCCATTCCCAGTCCATGTTGTCCCTGGTCTGGTGCAGTCAGGGCTGGAGGCAAATCATTGTCGTTAAGCTCAAACCTAGGCGTCAGCAAAATATCCATAGTCTGTGTTTGCAGGCGGCTAGGGGCACTGCCCCATGTTGCTCCAGCAACGCCAAGGCACCCCCTTCTGCTCCTTTTATTTAGAGTCTGCTAGGCATTCAGAGGGGCGGCTCCACCCTGCAGGCTGGCGTGGGAGCCACTGCTCGCTCCTTGTTGCAACAAGCTTCGGAGCGTTCTGTGATGTCATGGGATTGTGCCACTCGGGAACCTCCACTCAACGCCCATGTCCTTAGACATGGTTGATGGGCGGTCCACTATTCAGGCACCAGGTGGAAATCCATAGTCAGGGCTCTGCCTACTGCCCAACTGTCGGTACAAACCACCAAGGGCAGGGTTTATCTACATCATATACATACAACATTTAGAGCAGACGAGGGTGCAAACCTTGTCTTATATCGCGGCTGTCCACACTGCCAGCTGGCCCCGGCTGGAATAGAGTCCACCCCTCCTTTTAAGGGCTATGAGCAGCCTGCACAATGCCCACCTGTAACTCTGCTGGGATGCCCCCAGCCTCTTTTTGTCCTCCCAGCAATAGGGACTGTTGGGTGTCGCCACCGGCCTACAGCTGGGCTGCTGGATGGGCGGACACTCAGCCTGTCTACACAATACTGCCTCTGCTTCACTTTTCCTATGGTCTGTGAGCAGAGCGCAGATACAGCCTCATTGACATCAAGACATGGGGCTAATGAGCGCAAACAATAATGGCCTAAAGACCCTATTTCAAGAACAGGACTTTTCAGGCGGCCCTGAAAGCAAGACCTGATGTAAGGATGAGTCCAGTTCCTTTTTTGAGGGCTGACAGCGCTAAGCTCCACCTGGGCTAGGTGGTAAGAATATCCTTGCACGCCCTCTCTTGGCATCTGCTGGAAGCAAAAACCAAACCAGCCCCAGAAAGCCTCAACATATGAGTAATCAATAAAGCTATTCATACCTTCTTGCTGCCTCATCAGCCACAATGTTCAAGTCAATCTCCTCCTTGAGGCATGAGGAAGGCTCACTGTACCTCCAAGGGATCAAAATAGACACACGATTTTTGGCAACATTTTAAAAGTAATTTGGTTAACCACAGTGTGTGTGATTTAGGAGTGTAGGTTCACACCTCTAGGTGTATGTCACCAAACTCCCTCCACCACTGGTCCCCACCGTGCCGCCCTCCTCTGCCTCAATTCTGCAGTCACATTTCTAGGGGGGGAGGGGTTTGGTTTGGTTTTGTCTGTTCCTTTCTTTTGTGTCTTCATAATCTACATATGAGTGAAATTATCCAGTATTTGTTTTTCTCCTCCTGACTGATTTTGCTTACCATCATCCCTTCCTGTTTCACCCATGTTGTCATAAAGAGCAAGATTTCGTCTTTTTTTTATAGCTAGTAGAGTACATCAAGTTAAAGGACAGGATGAAAAAAGAGAAGCCATGCCAGCCTTTTTCATGTGAAAAGCTGAATGATTACATTATTATACTAATAAGCCTCAAGATAAGGGCTATTCTTAGGGATGGGGAAGTATTTGGCATGTGGTAAACACAGAGTGGACAAGCAGAAGATCAAAACAGCCCCTCCCATGTTATATACCATGAAGTTTCCAAGGTAACTGATTCATGGGATAAGGGTGGTCTCTTTGTCAAATGATGCTGATGTCATTGAATGTCCACATGAAAAACAGTGAGCCCCAAACCCTTCCAGAAATTGGCTCAAAATAAATCATGTGTCTAAATGTAAATGCTAGTGCTATAAAAGGTCTAGAAAAAAACATAACAAACGTCTTAGCAAACTTAAGAAAGGCAGAGAATCCTTAAGACAGAAAAAAAAGAAGCCATAAGAGAAAAAAATTGATGAATTTCACTCTTAAAATATAAAACTGCTTTTCAATGATGCCATCCAGAAAAGGCAATGTGTATAGATGCTAGAACTTTTATTCACGTTAAAAATAATTACAAACCCAGCATAAGAAAATAAACAATCCAGTTACTATGGGATGCTTCACACTAATGACATACACTAATGCTTCACACAAAATGATATACATTTGGTCAGTACTCATGGGGAGAAATTACTCATCATTCATAAGGGAAATGCATGAATTCAAGCCCCAATGGGGACCACCCACAAACACCTAGAACAGCCATGACAAAGCCCTGCCACATCAACCGTTCATGTGACACGGAGCACAGGTGTGCATGCATTGCTCACAGGAACGGAGCAGAGGAAACCACTTAGCACACATTGGCAGGTTTTCGTCAATCTAAGCATGTGCAGTATGACCTAGCGGCCTTACTCCTAGATGTCTAGTCACAAAAAGAAAAACATGTGTCCATGCAAAGACGGACGCCTACAAAGTGCTTATTGGTATTATGGATAGTAGCGCTGAACAAAATGTGACTTCTCCAAACTTGTCCATAGAAAGTAATGAACTGGGACTCACACAGAAGACTCTCAACAATAGATACAGAACTAAAAGTACTGCCAAAGAAGCCAGATGCAGAAGAGGCCCCTAGGTGATTCCACTGGATGAAACTCCAGAAATGCTGCGTCTACTCTGGACTGACTGGAGGTGGCCCAGCAGTTGCTTGGACCAGAGTTGAAGGGGTGACTGACCAGCAGGGAAGCCAGGGGACCCTGACTCATGGGGGCGCCGGTGTGTGCCAGGTGCAGACTGTTCTCAAACCACCGCGCTCTGCAGTGTATTTCACATTATGATCACGTTTATTTCACAATATCAAAATGCTCATTCTCTTGACTATGGATCATATATTTTAGAAAAGATGAGACTATAGGAATCTTTCTACCTAGTGTATTGTTTTACTTTATTCTTTTTTTAGAGTTTTAATGTGAAGCTAATTGTGCTTTAAATTCTCTTTTGTATGGGCAGGTTGCCCAACTATTGGATAAGAAAGAAAAAAGTAACACATAATTGAGTGCATTGTTTATTTTACTGGCATACTTATAATATATGAAAATGCTAGTCTATAGTCCCCTTTGTGCACAAAACTACAAGACTGATATATTGTCCGAAGAAATCAACAGGAGATAATTTAAAAAAAAAATTGATTTAACTTATTGTATGCTTCACAAAAGGACAAGGAAAATTGCAAACACACACTTTTACAGTAGTGAGGTGGTCGATTTTGAGCGTAAAATTGGAATGCAGAGAAAACACATGTTGAAGAGTGGGATGTCCTGGTCACAGGTGAGGAGCCAGCAGCCAGCGCCGGCTCGGGACTGGATTTCTGCAAATCAGCTGCACTAAGGGGAAGAAAATCGGCCAAAGAAGAGGATGCTGTCCGAGTCATTCTGTCGGATGAAGAACAGGAAAGGGTGACTGCAGTGGAAACTTTCGTCGCCCAGGGCTGACGTGACCACAAAGTCCACACCAGTGCCAGCTGCCGCCTCGGTGCCTTCCTCATTGACCACCAGAAAGGACTTGTGCAGGAACTTCTGGGCGTGCAGTCCCGCGGGGGAGTGCACACCCGAACTGGGGGCTCTGGGCTCCCCGAAGGCGTCTGCCATCCCCAGCACCTCCAGGACAGCCTCCAGATCATAGCTGTCCTCCACCTCAAACCGAGGCAAGCTCAGACTCACGCTCCTCTCCTCCATCTGCCCCGGGCTCGTCCACTCGACTAACTTCTCGGGAGTCAGTTTGTCTATAATCTATTGAGAAAGGAAAAGGATGAACGGCCAGTTGACCTATGAGAACTTCAAGCTGTTTAACAATGATTGGTCTCAATCAGAAATGTCTAATCTTACTGCAAAAGGAGACACTTCCTGTCACTAGAGCGTCTTATAGAGCAGGAGCTTGTTGTGATTCTCTATTTAAAGTATCTATGTATATGTGAAGACTTACTGGCATGAAATTAAATTGCGAAAGGGGAGAAGTGTCATTTCTTATTCAGCAACCTAACACAGTTCATATTTTACTGTTCCCTCCAGTCTCCGCAACAGGTAAGGTATAGCTGTGTATGTCATAAGTTATAGAGAATAAATATATCCTATAACCAATATAATTCATATTATACTATATAATATGAAGGTAGAGAATATATTTATATCACTGCGATCACAGCGAATGTCCACTTACATGTTTCAATGTAGGCTTTTTTAAATATTGCACCTCTCTCCTAAATATCTTCAAACTATCAAGTTGGTAACTTTTACCTGCCATTCACCCACTAATTCAAATCATATTCATCTAGCATATATCAAGCATTATGATACATGCTAACAGATAGTGTGGATACAAAAGTTATTATGATGATGATAACGATGAAGAAATCTTAGTATATTAATTGCCAAAAATTACAGATTTGACACAGAAGCAATTTTTTTTCTCTTGAATTATTTCTTTGGGACAACTTAGGTTCTTGAGTCAGTGTTTGAATATTTTTAAAACTTTCACACACACCCCATTTTCCCTATCACCATATTTTCCAATGTATAATGCTACAAGATGTTTGCCAGCCCCAGAGTAGTCCCCAGAATTAAAATGAGATGACATCTGTCATTTTGGGAGTGTTTCCCATGTCCCAGACCCATTCTAGGAGATATCTTTGACTAGGCCCAGGGCATGAAAACACTCAATGGAGGGGAAGTGTGTACTATGGCAAACGGGATTTATAGTGTTAGCTGTGTATTAGAACATGTGTGCGTTCTAATCATGACAACACCACACATCAAGAACTAAGGAGTCCATTTTATATGAGAAAATGTCAAGCTTCAAGGAAGTTAAGCTTTAAACATGAATAATTACAAATAGGGGAATAGGTGTTTGAAACAAAGTCTTCTGGGCTTCAAAAATATAGAGCACTCAACACATTAGTATTTTTTTTTAATTAATTTATGCATACAGAACTGGGGTACAGGCCAGAGGTGCAGGGCGGTGAGAGGATTCACCAGAGACAGAGTGGGGAGTAGAACAGGCCGACTGACGAAGTACACTGCTGAGGGGGGCAGCGGGCGGGTCAGGAGAGGTCTGCTGTGCCCTAGGGGTCACCTCTGGGGCAGGTGGGGATCGAACTCATGTGGAAGTAGCTTTTGATTCTTAGTACAGTGCTTTAACCCGCTGCGCCACCAGGGAGGGCCCACATTAGTATTTTTAACTTCAGAGTGGGTGGGACTACATCAGTGTGTTAAAGATTAAGGATCTGAAGGATTCTGGGTGATAATGACGTATCCTCATTGGTACGTCAGTTATAGCATGGGCACCCTCAAGGAAAAAATGTTGCCTATGGGGGAGGCTATGTTGGTGGAGGCAGGAAGTATGTGGTTAATCTCTGTGCCTTCCTGTCAATCTACAATAAATCTAAAACTGCCCCAAATAGCAAAGTGTTTTTTTAAAATAGTCTATCAAAGAAATTCAGAAGGCCCAGATGCCCCCCCCCACCAGTGGCGCCTTGGTTTGGAGCGCTGCACCTTAAAGCTAAGCCTAGATGTGGCGCTTCAGTGAGAGTTCAATCCCCTCCCGGGAGCTGACCCACACGGCTCAGCAGACCTCTCTGTCTCTCCTGCTGCTCCCCTCAGCAGTGTACTTCGTCGATCTGCCTGTTCTGCTCCCCACTCTGTCTCTGGTGATCCGCTCGCCACCCCTGCACCTCTGGCCTGTACCCCATTTCTGTATGCATAAATAAATAGATCTTTTAAAAAAAGAAAGAAATTCAGAAGGTCCAAAGCCTACTGAATAGTGTACAAATTTCACTGTACACGTGCGTATGAGATTATTTTTCAGAATGGTGGGTGATATGTAGAATCCCTAACTGTTCATTTAGCTCATCCCCAAGTATTTTAGATTGGTTGTTCTCAATAAACCTGACAGCATTTAATGCTACTCTTTGGACTTCCGTCTGTCGCTGTGCAGGAGTAAGAAGTAGCTTCTGTTGCCACTCCAAGTCGGAAGCCGCATCTCCGGGCTCACCCAGAACAAGCTTTGGGACATAAAGCAAGGCAGAGGGAAAACGGGGCCTTACCTTCTCCAGCCCGTCAACGTCATTGGGCAGCAGCACAAACATGCTCAGGTCATTGTTTTTGTATGGAATCCCGAGAATCTTGGCCTGCAAGTCCTCCAGGAAAGTGAAGCTGAAGGAATCGTGCTGTGTCATCATTGGCACAGATTTACTCAGAGTCTGCAACACATTAACAGGGCACACGAGTCAAGAGAGGCGCAAGGCAACCCAGGCAGCTCAGCAAACACTAGCCCAACTCCGAGAAGGCTACGGATCAGGCTTCTGAATCCGCGCGGACCTTGCAAGCACGCTTGCTCAAACAAGTCTCGACTTTCATTCCATGTGCAAGGACGCCACATAACGGAAGGGAGGACCATACCTTATTCAGCCAAAATGCCTCCTCCTTGGTATTTTCTTTCTTAAACTCCCTGTCCCATTGCCCTTTAAAATAAACTATGTTCACCACCACCAGCTTGGTGGCGTTGCTTATAGAGCCATCCGAAAACAGGTCCTTGATTTTTTCTGAAATGAACAACAACAACAACAATTGGCCCAGCTTGGAAGAGCTGTGCATGGCAGATACAACACAGTGACCTTGCCTAGTCGCTTAAATCTCAGCCAGGGCTGCCCCTCAGGAACGAAGCAACCAGAGGAAGGGTCTCAGTCCATCGCCTATCTGTCCCCCTGGGGGACTTGTGGTGTGGTGGCCGGAACACAGACGCTGGGTGTAGAATGCCTGGTAGTGACCAGGTTCACCTTTAATGAGCTGAGGGTTCTCGGGCAAGTTACTTAAGCAATCTGTGCCTCTGTGTCCACATCGGCCTCACAGGATGTTAAAAGAAGAGATGATCTGATGTGTGTCAAACGCTTTGATCACTCGCTGGCTCCTAAAAAGCTCTGGACAAGTGGTAGCTATTATCCTTTCTGTACATCAATCCAGAAGCCGCTCAGATGTAGAGATTTCTCATTTTATTGAAATAAGGAATGAGGGCCCTCCCTGGTGG